TCATAGCGACCCCTCCTTGGGTTTCCGAGGCAGTATCACTATGGAAGTAGATTGCCCCATCTTCCTTCCGAGGAGTGGCTGGTGGGTTTGAACCGCGCCAGCCTTCTGGTTAGCAGTCAAGTGCCTTAGGCACTATGCTACCAGAGCTCCCATCCTAGGCATTAGTGAGCTGAAATGGACTGGTTTTGGCCATTTTGAATCAGACAACCATATGATCTACTATGCCGGGAATGAAAAGTTGAAGCGGAATGGCATGGCATTCATCATCACAAAGACTGTTTCAAGATCTGTCCTGAAGTGCAGTGCTGTCAGTGATATGATAACATCCATATGCCTACAAGGAAGGTTAGTTAATACTACTATTATTCAAATCTATGCACCAACCACCAAAGCCAAAGATGGGCAAACTGAAGATTTCTACCAACTTCTGCAGTCTGAAATTGACCGAACATGCAATCAAGATGTGTTGATTATCACTGGTGACTTGAATGCAAAAGTTGGAAACAAAGAAGAGTTACTGGTAGTTAGAAAATATGGCCTTGGTGATAGAAATAACACTAGAGATCACATGATAGAATGTTGCAAGACCAATGACTCATTCATTGCAAATACCTTTTTTTCAACAACATAAGTGATGGCTATACATGTGGACTTCACCAGATGGAATACACAGAAATCAGGTGGACTACATCTGTGGCAAGAGGTGATGAAGAAGTTCAGTATCTTCAGCCAAAACAAGGCCAAGTGCTGACTGTAGAACAGACCATCAACTGTTCATATGCACGTTCAAGTTAAAGTTGAAGACAATTAAATCCACGAGAGCCAAAATATGAACTTAATAATATCCTTCCTGAATTTAGAGGCCACTTAAAATATAGATTTGATGCATTGAATACCAATGACCAAAAACCAGAGGAATTGTGGGATGACATCAAGAACATCATCCATGAAGAAAGAGGCATTAAAAAGACAAGAAAAGAAGAAAAGACCAAAATGGATTTCAGAAGAGACTCTGAAACTTGCCTTTGAACAGAGAGTAGCAAAAGCAAATGGAAGAAATGACAAGATAAAAGAGCTGAACAGAAGATTTTAACGAGCAGCTCAAGCAGACAAAGCCAATTACTATAATGAATTGTGCAAAGACCTGGAGTTAGAAAACCAAAAGAGAAGAACACACTTGGCATTTCTCAAGCTGAAATAACTGAGGAAAAAATTTAAGCCTTGAGTTGCAATATTGAAAGATTCTATGGGCAAAATATTGAATGATGCAGGAAACATCAAGAGAAGATGGGAGGAATACACAGAGTTACTGTACCAAAAAGAATTGGCCAATGTTCATCCATTTCAGGAGGTGGCATATGATCAAGAAACAATGGTACTGAAGGAAGAAGTCAAAGTTGCACTGAAGGAATTGGTGAAGAACAAGACTCCAGGAACTGACGGAATATCCATAGAGATGTTCAACAAATGGATGCCCTGCTGAAGGCACTCACTTGACTATGCCAAGAGATTTCAAAGACAGCTACCTGGCCAACTGACTGGAAGAGATCCATGTTTGTACCCGTTTCAAAGCAAGGTGATATCACAGAATGTAGAAATTATCAAACAATATCATTAATATCATATGCAAGTAAAATCTTACTGAAGATAATTCAAAAACAGTTGCAGCAGTATATTGACAGAGAGGTTCCAGAAATGCACACTAGATTCAGAAGAGGATGTGGAATAAGGAATATCATTGCTGATGTCAGATGGATCTTAGCTGAAAGCAAAGAATACCAGAAAGGTGTTTACTTATATTTTATTGACTATGCAAAAGCATTCGATTGTGTGGATCATAACAAATTATGGATAACACTGAGAAGAATGAGAATTCCAGAACACTTGATTATACTCACTTGATTATACACAGATCAGGAGGCTGTCATTCGAACATAACAAGGGGATACTGAATGGTTCAAAATGAAGATTTGTATGCTGAGCAAATAATCCAAGAAGCTGGATTATATGAAGAGGAACATGGCATCGGGATTGGAGGAAGACTCATTAATAACCTGCAATACACAGATGACACAACTTTGTTTGCTGAAAGTGAGGAAAACTTGAAGCACTTACTGATGAAGATTAAAGACTACAGTCTGAAATATGGATTACACCTCAATATAAAGAAAACAAAAATCCTCACAACTGGTCCAATAAACAGCTTCACAATATGGAGAAAAGACTGAAGTTGTCAAAGACTTCATATTACTTGGTTCTACAATCAACACCAATGGAAGCAGCAGTCAAGACATCGGACAACATATTGCATTGGAAAAATCTGCTGCAAAAGACCTCTTTCAAGTGCTGAAGAGCAAAGATGTCTCCTAGAAGACTAAGGTGTGCCTAACCCAAGCCATCATATTTTTCATTGCCTCTTATGCATGTGAGAGCTGGACAATGAGTAAGGAAGATCAAAGAAGAGTTGATATTTTTGAGTTGTGGTGTTAAGAGAAGAATGCTGAAGGTACCATGGACTGCTAAAAGAACTAACAAATCTGTCCTGGAGGAAGTGCAGCCAGAATGCTCTTTGGAAGTGAGAATGGCCAGACTTCATCTCACCTACTTTGGTCATGTTGTCAGAAGGAACCATTCTCTGGAGAAGGATATCATGCTTGGTAAAGTGGAGGGTCAACAAAGAAGGGGAAGGCCCTCAACAAGATGGACTGACACAGTGGCAACAATGGGCTCAGGTATAGAAAAGATCATGAGGCTGGCACAGGACCAGGCAGTGTTTGGTTCTGCTGTGCACAGGGTCGCTATGAGTCGGAGATGACTCAATGGCACCTAACAACAACAACAACAACAACATAGGGACAGAAAGTTCAGTTGTTTCCAGGGGTGGGAGGAGGGGATTAGGTGCAAAGGGAAGGGAACCTTTTGGGGTGATGGACATGTTCTATATCATGAATGTGGTGTGACTACACAACTCTGTAAAACTGCCAGAAGACATCCAACTATATACTTTAAATTGGTGAATTTTTTTTGTATATACATTATAGCTCAGTAATAAAGCAGATTTAAAAAAAAAATTTTTTGTAAGATCTGTTTTCTGTGCCAACAACTAACAAAACAATAAGAAGATATGATTTACCTTCCCAGTCTTCCATGTAAGGGGCCTCTTCAGCTTCTTTCTCTGGAGTGAGTCTGTCAATGAATTTTCCTTCTTTCATGACTCTGGTGATTTCTCGGAGCTGATGCAACAACTGTTTCTCTTGATCAGAAGTCACAGTCTGTGCTCTGCTTGGAAATACCAGACAATCCAGCCACTTAGCAGGAAGTATTCCTAGGCATTGGACATAAACGTCACTAGAACATGTCTAGATTCTAGAATAGGAAGTCCAATAGCATAGGATAATTATTCTAGGAATTGATTCTAGAACTGCATAGCTAGGATGAGATTTTAGAGATGTTAGATTTTAGAGATGTTTTACAAATCATAAAACTAAGGCCCACAATAGATCAAGTGATCACCCAAGGTCCCGTCAATGCTGGGAGTAGACCCTAGATGTCTCAGCTTTCAGTCCAGTGTCTTTGTCAGTATACCTCACTGCTTGGCTCTCTAAACTCAAGCAGTTTCACTGTTGCTCACATTACTAAAAGCCACTTTTCTGTGAAGCAAAGTCATCAAAAGAAAATGTGCTGGGCCATTAGCTTCATCCAGGGAAAAAATATGCTTCTAGGCCAACCTTACAATTACCATGCTCAATCTACTGGTGCAGGAGTAAGGATAAATCCTAAAATTTAGAGCTGGATCATTCTGACAACTCAATTATCTAATTCAGAGAAAGTAGAAAATTGAGGTCCAGAGAGGGAAAATTATATATTTATTCATATTGCTAATTATTCAATCATAGCACTATAACTAAAACTAAAGTCTCCTGACTTCTGATAGCATTCTGTGAAATTCTTGAAGCACAGTGCTCAAGTTTCACAGAAAATCTGGGTTTGACTCCCAATGTACCTATGTGGCTCTGTGTAAATGTCTGCAAAAATAAGGTGATTATTTTCTTTGAGAAAGAAGCATTGCAGCATAGTGCTATGCAGACAAGGCCCTACTTAGAGGACTGAGAACTGTCTGCTTTGGGACCAGTTTTATCTAGTGGCAGGACTTAACAGGCTACTTGTTCTCCTCATAAAAACCCAAAGCATTCCAAGTCAATATATCACTCAGGAGGGAAAAATGACACATTCTGTACCAGCCTTGCAGGTGCCATTTATTTTCCTAAGCAGCCAATCCCAAGCCTGAATTTCTTTTTATGCTCAGCATAACAAACTTTTTCAGTCTTAATGACTAATAAGGGGGAAATGGTGTTTCACCCTCCAACATAAGATGGTATCTGAGGAAAGTAAAGGGTCAACATTTCCACAAACTTCAGTGGAAGAAAACAAAACACACTACAACACTCTATTTCTTCGACACCAAAAAGCCTTAGAGTCTGCCTGTTCTACAGTCAGCTAATATCCTGTGTTTCTAGGGCCTTTGCAATGTATGGAATCCCTTTTGTAGGGTTCAATTTGGCCATTTGGTCCTGGTTCTGAGAGGAGGACTACACCTGAGGCTAGTGATTAGGCTCGACCTGACTAAGAGGGATCACCAGGGGCCTGAGGCTGACTAAGCCTCAGGAGGCTTGTGCTAAGGCCAATAAAGGCCTGGGAAGACAAAGGGTCATGGGAGCTTTGTGGGTTGGAGAGTGTGGGTATTCTGCTCTCAGAGGAGGGGAGAATACATCCGTGGTGGATACAGAAACTGTACTGTGCTGAAGAATATCCCTGTACTGTGCTGAAGAAAATCCCTTCTCCTCCCAATCTTTGTCCCAGGGTAGAGATGTAAGCTCCAGGGGATAAGAGATTGGAAAATTCTTCAGAAGAGACTGGCACCAGCAATAGCAGGAACATAAGACCCAGTAGAAGGTCAGAGAAAGCAGAAGCCAAAGTCTGCTGAACAGAGAAACGGAAGCAGAGCAGTCTGAGGGGAATGGGCCGAGAACTGCAACGCACTTAGGACTGCTACAGCACTGGAAGCAGCATAGACCACAAACAGAGGGGCTGGCAGCTTCAGAAACTCCAGCCGGAGTGCAGGGGCTGGGGGCCTGCACAACAAGCCTGGGAGCATCCTATGTAGGGTTTACCCTCAGAGCAGTTCTCCTTCAAGAGGGGTCATGACGCCAGCCCAGGTTGCAGGGTGAGAGCTGGAGCACCAGAGAAGAGGGTGGAGCACCTATTGACACCTAAGATATGCCCACTCAGTGAGTAAACATTGATCTTCCATCATGAAACCATTATTTAAGAGCAAACATTGATTTCTATTTACTGCTTGCTACCTACTTGTCATGTGCTAATGCTCTTGGGAGTGTCTTGTGTGTTCTGGCTCTGATCAAATGAATGTGATATTATTAGTGAACAACCTGTGTGTGCACTGTAATAGTAAATGTGTATTGTTTAAACAACCAGTGGGTACATATCACAGCCTGTTACAACTCTATTCTTCCCATCAGTACAAGAGTCCTGACTACCACAACTGCTTGTCTGCTCCACGTAACCCTGAGTCCTTACTAGCAAAACACTTTGTAGGGTATGTCTAGGGCAGACTAGGTCACCCCCAGCTAGAAGAGTCTATGCACTTTCTACAAAGCTCTTGTGATTGGGCTGCAAATGTTATTTCTCTGGAGACTGTATGCAGGGCACTCTGATCATTACTGAATGAAACAGTCTAGATTTAGTGGTTTTCTAACCTACGGAAAATTAGAGGCCTTAACTAAAAGAAAGATAGCTGACTGCTAGGCTAGAAGAAGCAGGGACAGACAAGAGAAGTTTCTCAGAGAATTCCAAACTAAATCATCCTCTTTTCCTATTGTTCACATTGGTATAGTCTACATCATGCATTAGGCAATTAATCATGGCCCACCTTATGACATCTTCTGAATTTATTGCAAAGAACATTTCACCGGTTCCTTATTGTCTCAACTTGGAAAACTCCTGGAGGGTAGTGATAATGAGTTCACAATAGTGTAGGCACAGTGCCATGAACATTCTAAGCGCTCAATACATATTGTTAGGTTGATTTGGTCCCCATTTCCTTGCCATCCATTTTCTCCCTCCCCTGGAAACCTGGCTTCTATCACATCATTTTACCAAAACTTGTGAAAATCATCAGTATCCACTTTACTCCCAAGATGGGGGTTCTTTTTCTCTCATTTCAATCTTCCTCACCTCTCTACACTGTGGACCTCCTCTCCTGGAAACTTCTTTCCTTGGCTATTGTAACATATTTATTCCTTCTACTTATTTAACCATTCCCTTTATCTCTGATTCTGGCTCACTTTCCTCCTCCCACCTCTTAAAACATGGCTTTCCCAAAGGCTTATTAGCCCTAGGACCCTAAGCTCTCCGTTTGTACAAGCATGCCCTCAGGAAGCTGACCCCTATCACAGATTAAGTCATCACCTCTACGCAAGTTATGCCCAATTTCTACCGCTCATCCTGACTTTTCATAGAGAGGTCATTCTTATAACTCCAGTTATCTGCCAAGCATTTTCACCTGGAGGATTTGCCACTACTTTGAAGTTAATCTTAAATTCACCTCTCAAAACTAGGTCCAGCTGGTGCAGAATCATGAGCAACTGCATGAACTGGCAGGCCAGGAGAGATTAGATATGGAAGATTCCAAAATGTCAGGAAAATAAAGGGTCCTGCTGGGCAGATTACCTCATCAGACTTTTGAATGCTATAAACCCAGAGGAATCATCAAGTTCTGAGTCTAATAGTTAAATACAGAGAGAATGAAACAGATTCTACCACTACCATTCATAGTTAGAATAGAAATCAAACCATCAAGAGAAGAGTGCAGGCCACAGCACAGAATGATATGCCATGAGGATTTAGTGAATTCATCTTTCCCCACAGCCCTAGTTGTTTATCTCCAGCCAAATAACCTATGTCCTTTGTCTGACCTCAAGGTTCAAATTTCCTATTGCTATTGTATATTTACACTTGGATGTTCTGGTGGCACCTCAACCATATTCAAAAATGAACTCATGATCCCTATTCCAAAGGTTTATCTTCCTTCTCTTCTTCTGTGTTTACATCTTGGTTAATGCCATAAATTTCCTTCCAGTTTGGGCTGTAAATCTCAAAATCATCTTTATCTCTTTCTTCTCCTTCATTGCTATTATCTACTTAGTAGTTTTCCATTGGGGAAGCAATCCCTCTTTCACTTGTAGTTCAAGCCTTAGGGTGAAACCATCCAACCTCTCAGCTCTCCTAAATAAATTTCTGTTGTTTTAAGTTACCAAGTTTGTGGTGATTTGTTACAGTAGCCATAAAAAAATAATACTCGTTCCTCAAGTACACTTTACCTCTCTGAGATGCAGTTCTTTGTACGTAAAATAATAACTGCTGCTGACAACCATCCAGGGCCGCAATGAGAATAGGTACCAAAGAAGGTATTATTGCCACAGCCACCTGCTTTAAAGCACTTTCTTTAGATCTACCTCATTCGTTCTTTCAACGTGTATTGCCTTTATAAATGTGCCCACACTGTTGTTGTTAGGTGCTGCTGAGTCACTCAGGCTCACAGGGACCTCATGTACCAAAGAATGAAATATTGCCCAGTCTTGCACCATCCTCATAATCCTTGCTATGTTTGAGACCATTGTTGCAGCTACTGTGTCAGTCCTTCTTGTTAGGGGTCCTCCCTCTTTTTTTTTTACTGACTCTCTACTTTACCAGGCATGATGTGCTTCTCCAGGGACTAGTCCCTCCTGGTAACAGTCCAAAGTGTGTGAGATGAAGTCTTGCCATCCTCATGTCTAAGGAGCATTCTGGCTGTTCTTATTCCAAGACAGATTTGTTAATTGTTCTAGCAGTCCATGTAATGTTCAGTGTTCTTCACTGGCACCACAGGAACACAAATTTAAACAATTAAAATTCCCTGCTCTCAAGAAGGTTATAGGGCATTGGATAAGACAGAAAACAGATCAGAATATAATACAATGAATACAATAACAAAGCAAACCCAGGTGGTGTTGGAGCACATAAGAAGAGCATCTAACCAAGTTTTGTGGGTTTAGGGAGGGATTCTCAGAGAAAGTGATGTCAATGTTGAGACTTATAAGACAAGCAAGAGTTAAAATAAGTGTGTGTGGCAGGATAGGAAAAGCACCCCAGGCAAAGGGAGAAGTATTTACAAAGTCCTAGAAGCAAAAATTGACAGCTATTTTAGAGAGACAGCATATAGTCAAGTGTGATTGGACCAGAGACTGAGAGAGAGAGAGAGGGATGGAGAAAGACAAGGCAAACGAAGTCTGCAGACCCAGATCATTTAGGACCATGTGAGCCATGAGATGGACTCTGGACTTTATCAAGGGCAACAGGGGCCTGTTGAAGGGCAAAGCAAAACACATAATCCATCTATTTGGAAAGTAGAAAGTAGAATGAAGGGGAGGCAAAATCAGAGAAAAGGAAACCACATGAGGTAGTTCTGACCTATGCCCAAAGTAAAAGCATTCACTCCCTCATTCTTTCATCTATTTCACTAATACTTTTTAGCACTTACCATGGGCCTGTGCTAGACTCTTATGGAATTTACAGTCTATTGCAGGGAGACAGACTTATTAATTAGGTGGAAATGACAAGATATGGTGATTGATGAGGTATGGGAAGTGAAGGAAAGGGTGAATCAAGGATGACTTCTAATTTCTGCTTTGGGTAACTAAGTAGATGGTGGAGCCATTTGCTGAGATGGGGACTACTAAAGGTAGGATAGGTTCAGCTTGGTGTAGATTATGGACATTATGGACATTCATTCACCCAAGAAACATTTACTGTTTGAGGAGCATAAGGTAGGTATCTATGAGACATGACCCATAGAACCCTGTATGTACCAGTCAGGAACTGAAGAGGGGTCTAAACGGGGCATGCCATGATTTACTCTTCAACTGTGAATATATGTACAAATGCTTATATCAAAAGTGAGTATTCTCAATCCAACAAGTATTTACTTAGTACCTACTATGTGAACACAGTAAACAAAATAGACCAAATCTGTCCTCAAAGAGCTTACATTCCAGCAATCCATTGCCAGAAATCTACAGTCCAAAATGCATGCTCAACGTACCTGTCAGTGCTATTGGCTGCCAGAGTTTGCCTCCTCACTACTCCCCTCCAACCACGCCATACTTCTGGGAGGTGAATCACTGGCACTAGACTTACTTCTCCAGGAGGCAAATTTTGCTGACCAGAAATGAGGACACTTTGATTCTGATTTCTAGATCCTTTTCTTAGTCTTTGTAATCTTGGGCTAGAGATTGTGCTTAATATCAGATGTGAGGCACAATACTGACCTCCCAGGAGGCTTCATTACTTAAACATGTATGTTGATCTCCATTGCTCACAAGTGAAACTATCTTATGTCTGAAAAATTTTATTAGATACTATTAAAAACTTTTAATAGTATCAAAAATTTAATATTAATCTTTACATAAGCATTAAAATGAAGTTTCAGACACTGCAATATTTTACTCTCGTATATTTACTCTTTCACTCAGTAATATGCACAACACTGAAACTAGGCTTTTACTCTTGAAAAACTGAGGTTGCTTATAGTATGAAAGTGGCAATTTTATATGAGAAATGATATGTAAAAAACAAACTGACAATTATATAAAATGAAAGTAAGTGGTCCATAGATCAAAGAAAAGCAAAATTTTGAGTGGATTCTCTAAACGGGAAATGGTCTGAAAACCTACCTCCCACCATTAGGTCCCACTCTGTTGATTAATTTTTCCATGGCTTCCTCTGTCTCCTTCAGTTTTTCTTGCAGTTGGGCAAGCTCAAAATTGGCTGAAAAATAAGCATCAATCTAAGAACCAACACAGATAGCTCCTTAAGCCCTTTTCTGAAACACAGCTGGCTGTGACAGTCTACAATAATCCAGGCTGGTTCTGAGACTCAGAGAAGAGACTGAGAGTGTCTCCACCTAATCCAATCAAGACAAAAAGGATACTAAGTTCTGGGCACAGAGATCTATAGACATGTTTAATGAGTGATGAACAAATCACTCCCTCTTACACCCAGAAATCCAGCAGGACCAACTAAAGAAAATACCTAGGAGTGAAAACACACCCCTACAAAGTTACCCAAGAGGAAATGCAGAAGATAAACATACCCTACTGATCCAAATGATGTTTCAGGGTAAGGTACCAAACTGTAAGTTACTTTAGAAAAGGAGCTAAGACCCTGAAATGACCAATATTTCACTTGCACCTAAGGTGTGAAGACGTATCTGGCAGCTAATAGTTTGAATGTTAAGCTTCTTTAATAGATGACATCTTGAAGTGGGGCTGAGACTCCCTCCCCATGGTCTTCTACCCCTGTCATCTCGTGTGAAGAGGGGCCATGCTTGGTGTAAACCTGCCTCCCAGAAGCAGTTTGCTTAATGGGTCAGTATGGAGCACATCTATCTGTTAGAACAGAAATAAGACCCTAAATGTAGAACAGAAAACAACAACTCAATCAGTACATGACATAAATTTTAAGGCACTAGGAAAATAAAATGTTCATTGTGTAGCTATTCCAGGTTTTCAATTTTCTACTACTTTGAAATATATGGAGAGTCATTGTAAAATGTAACATTTTAAAGGTCCTTTAACACTTCTAGAACACACTCTTATGCATTTAGTTAACACTTGTAAAGGACTGCACTGCACAAGTGCTCAGGATATTTTTATTTCCTGCATAATTCAAAACTGAAGGATAAGTTTATATAGTGCTATTACCATTATTATTAAAACAGCTGCTCTTAGGACTGCATTTGATTTACTTTGTTCTGTTTTAATTACATTGTATGACAGGATAGAGAATCTACTATTCACAGATTCCACAATTCCTTTAAAAATTATTTTATTGATGCATTTACTGTCACTGTTGATTAGACACGATCTCAGTTAAGAATATAACAGCTTTCTTAAAGGATTCCTTGAATATTTAAGATTTCCAAAAAAGATGCATAATAAGACTGTGCCATATCTATTTCCATAGAGGATCCAGGAAGAAATACAAAAAGCAGTACAGCCTTGCACAGAGGCTTCACTGGCTCAACCACACTTTCTTTTAATGATGTCTTTCTTTTAAAAACTTCCTTAAAAGCCCACCATCAATATGGGAACTTTCGAGAATCTCCAGAGTTAAGGTAAAAATGGCATCAGATTAATTTGGAGCAACTGAGAAATGCTTTTATGTCATACTCAAAGATTTGTTCTTCTGGCTGTAGTATAGCATCTTACTCGGTAGCACTTGTGAATATACTGAGAAGTGGAACTTACTAATTTTCCGGTGGGTGTTTCCAGGTGTGGCAGTAGAGCATTTCTGATCCTCTGCAGTTGTCTTCCCCTTTGAGAGCTGAGAATTGAAGGAGGTACAGCACATCAACAGCAGCTCAGAACCTCAAAGTCATGGAACCCCTCATATTAAATGAAGAAAAAAATAAAAAGGTTGGGATCAAATTGCAACATTAGAGAAGCATCTCAAAAGAAAGAAAAGCCAAAAAAAGATGAGATGATCTCCAGGTGAAAGATTATCAAGGCATAGGGGAAAAACAAACTCCCTGCAGGTCCCCTGTCTTGCCCATGCTTAACTACTAGATGTGCAGCCCCTAAGAGCATTCTTGGAGAGTCAATACAGGCTACCTGCAGAATTCCTGGGCAATAAGGAACATACCTCTTAGTCTAATTGGGAAGGCAAAGTGAAGCTTCTGCCTCTACCTCACACTCCTCAATTAGGCCCATGGCCTGCAAAATTCTACTTGGAGGTGGGACTTAATTGGGGTTCTGCTTTTAAAGAATCCAAATTATGTCTCTCCAAAGTTAGGAAATATCCAGTTTAGTTGTAGGACATGAGAGTTCTACCTCAGGAGTATTACCAGGACAGTGTTACAAACTGCAGCTCACACTCCTGGGGTTGAAGGGACAAGGTGGTGTTGATACAGCTATTATTTGGCTTCCCAGTGGGTGCCTGGAAATCACTCTGCCAATCCCTGTAATAAAGCTGCTGTTAGAGCATCTTTATGCCTTTTCAGCTGGCAAAGATGCTCAGTCAAATTTTTTTTTTTTTAAACTAGAACATTCACTGGATTAGGAACCAGAAGACCTATGTTCAAGTCCTGGTTTTACCTTTTTAGTTGCCATTTCTAAGCAAATCACTTTAAGGGAAGACTTTCTCATCTGTAAAACTGAGACATTTTCTATCCTAAGTACCTCACAATAGAAGTCAAAGGTTAAAGAGATGATGACTCTGAAAGAGGGTATGAACTATAAAGGGTTTAAAGCAGATAGTGAATTTTTGATAGATTTTCTCTGATATAATATGACCAAATGATTCTACTTACCTTAAATAGAATGTACAGTATATATAAGAAAATCCCAAAACCATAGATTGGAATAATCTGCCCCATCAGGCCTCTTCCACTACCTCCTCCTCCGGGGCCTCCACCGGCTCCTTTGGCCTTTGCAAATGCCTCTGCAAGGTGAGACCTCTGGAATCGAGCCCCAGGAGTGTGGCCATCGGAGGGTGCCTGGCGATGATGCATCATGGGTGGAAATCGATCCAGTTTTCCTGAGAAAAATGAATGTCTTTATTTCTTTTATTCTTTTAAATATCATTATTATGCAAATATACATTTAGGTACAAATAACAGAAGCCAACTCAAAACAGTTTAGGAAAAACCAGGAACTTGATTATAAGAATATAGAGGTATCAAACAGATTCTAAGTGTGATATAGTAGTTTCTAGCTATTCACCAAACCCATTTTTATTTCTTTTGGGTCCACAACTAGACTACATTTCACAGCCTCCCGAACAGTTAAATGTGGCCATGTGACTGAGTTCCAGTCAAAGGAACATGAATGATGTGTGCGAGTTCAAGGCCTAGCCTATAACAACCTCGTATGTATTGTGAGAGGAGCTCTGGTAGCATAGTGTCTAAGGCACTTGACTGTTAACCAGAAGGCTGGTGGTTCAAACCCACCAGCCACTCCTCGGAAGGAAGGTTGGGCAATCTACTTCCATAGTGATACGGCCACGGAAACCCAAGGATGGGTCGCTATGAGTCAGGGCCGACTTGACGGCACATAACAACAACAATGTATTGTGAGTAACGACTGGGATCTTCAAAGCTTGCAAGCAGCCATCTAGATGCAACAATGGGTCTCTCCTCATTCAGAGCAAAGAATAATGAAGAAAACCAAAGACTCATGGAAACAATTAGTCCTAGTGATTGGTATACCATACGATCCTCAGCTTGTACGACTATGAGACCAGAAGAACTAGATGGTGCCTGGCTACCACCGTCAACCACTCGGAGGGAGACCTGTGGAGGCAATCCTGGATATACAGGGAGAATAATGTGGAACAAAACTCAAAATCATTTGGAAAAAAAAAAAGGAGGGGAACCAGGTTTGCTGCTCTGATAGAGCCTGGTGGAACCACTGAGACTATGCCCCCTAGCTGCCCTTCAAGTCTGGAATTGAACCCACACCTGTGGCTTCCAGCCAAACAAAAGACAGGCATATCAGTTGAGCATTTACCTGAGATAAATACACTCCTTGGAGAGAACAATCATGGGAGAAAAAAGGGCTATTTATGCACAGGGAGGCAACTCAGGGGGCAGGGGTACATGGAGGGATGGACACAGGGAAGAAGTAACTATTGGGAGGAAGTGGGAAGGGAGCTGTTGCATTGTGGTAAATTGTAGTCAATGTCATGAGACAAAATGTATATGAACTGCTGTATGGAAAGTGAATTTGCTCTGTAAATTTTCACCCAAAGCACAATTAAAAAAAAAAAAAAAAGCCTCCCATGTATTAAACTCCATGTTCATGTCCCATCTGCAGACTGGATGATGACACTCAAGGAGACTCTGGAAGCCATGTGTTAAAAATGTCAGTGCCTCTATCAGCCTGGGTTCCTGAATAACTATGTGGCACGGAGCCATCTCCTATTGCCACCCCTACCAACTCAGAATCATCTGGAACTGTTTATGTGAGAGAAGGGAAAAAAAAAAAAAAAACTTCTATTGTGTTAGGGCCATTCTACACTTTGGAGTCTGTAACAGCAGTTAGCCACCTCTAACTAATACAGATAAGGAAATGCAAGCTGGTCTCAGGAGAGAACAGAACCGGAACCTAGAAAGTCATCAGGAACCAGGACAACTACTCTCCCATTCTCTCTCACTTTCTCTGTGGAGCCGTAAGGCCTTTTTCTGTTTCTATGTGCACATCGTCTTCATTCTCCTTTCTCTGTAGACCATTTCTACAAACCTCTGTGGAAGATGGCCACCTTAACACTCCTCAATTTGCATCTTTCAAGAAACCAGCAGAAACTGGTTAATATCTCTTAGTCCTAATTCCAAATTCCTGGGAGGAAGATTTTGTGTACTCAATTAAGTATGCATCTCTTCCCAATCAGCTATGGCTGAGCAGACAGGATTCATGTAGTACAAACAGGTCACAGAAACCCAATCTTGTGAGTGGAAGAGCAGGGCTTAGAGAAGAAGAGTGGTGCATCAATTTTCTTACACTTTTCCCTCTATCAGGAGCAGCCAAACATTGGCACCAACTGTCAAGCCTCCTGAGAGCTATAATTGAGAAGAAAAAGAAAGACATGTCTTCAAAGGGCACGCAAACAGACTTGTATCATAAAGCCACTGGGGGTAACACTACAGAGCAGAAAATACCAAAGAGCAGAAAGACTTCATAAATAAGACTTTGAAAATACAAACTATAAAGTAAAAAATTGATGGATTTGAGTTCAGGAAAATCATGGATTTCTGTTCAATAAAGAATACCATGAACAGAGCTAAGATAAATGACAGATGTGGAAAAAATCTGCAACAGCTAAAACTGACAAGGAATTCAATATTGAGAATATACAAGGAAATCCTACAATTCAACATGAATATCACAGGAAATCTATTAGAAAAGTGGTCAAAAGGTATGAGTAGGGCACTCACAGAAGGGGAAGCCTAAGTAGCTAAAAAGTATATAAAGAAATGATCAAATTTAAAGGGATACAAATTAAAACAATGGGATACCACTTCATACCCATAAACCAAAAACAAACTCACTGCTGTCGAGTTGGACCTGACTCATAGCGACCCCTCCTTGGGTTTTTGAGGCAGTATCACTGTGGAAGTAGATTGCCCCATCTTTCTTCAGAGGAGTGGCTGGTGGGTCTGAACTGCCAGGCTTCTGGTAAGCAGTCAAATAAATGCCTTAGGTACCACACTACCAGAGCTCCTTCATATCCATAAGAACGGAAAAAATTAAAATGATGTTAGCAATGATGTTGGGGTACAAGAACTCTCATGCACTGTTGTTAAGACACAGCCATTCTGCTAAGTAATGTCACTGTACTTAATGACAAAGTATCACAGTATATGCTCTGTGATCTAGTGATCTCATTCTGGACAAATATAAGAGACATTCTCAACATAAGGCTGTCTGTATCTTATTTATTATCTTTATACATCTGTGTGAGAATGTTAGCTATAGTCATGTTGTTGCAGGGAGTTGAAGAAACTTCGATTTTCATAACTGGAAGATTGGCAAATCTATATCGAGTAAATATAAACATGTAATTCCATGTAGTTTTTGGCAATTACACTTCAGATATACCTGCAGCAACATAACATCTTTAAAAAAAACATTGCAATACGTAAGAAAATAAGCAAACATCATTATGTGCATTGAAGCCATAATTATACTACATATTTTTCAAATGAATATGTAGGTTATTTTTATTGTGTGCCATCGAGTTGATTCCAACTCATAGTGACCCCATAGGACTGAGCAGATCCACTTCAGAGTACTTCCTAAGTTGAAATTTTTATGGAAATAGATCTCCAGATTTTTTCTCCCACAGAGCAAATCAGCTGGTGGGTTTGAACCATCAACCTTTTGGTTAGCAGTACAGTGCTTAACCCAGGAAACAACAAAAAAAAAAAAAAAAAAAAAACACCACTGCCATTGAGTGGATTCCTATTCATAGCAACCCTTTAGGACAGAATAGAACTGCCCCTGTAGGGTTTCCAAGGTTGTAAATCTTTACAGAAGCAGATCTGCCTCATCTTTCTCCAGAGGAGCAGTCGGTAGGTTCAAACGGCTGAGCTTTTGGTTAGCAAAATGCTTTAACCACTATGCCATCAGAGCTCCTTAAATATATAGGGATAAGGACATAAACACACTAGAATGGGTACACATGAGCAGGGAAGGGAGTAGGTATGTGGATTGGGGATAGAGGGTTAAAAACAAAAGACTAAAATAAGAAAGAACCTTGTATGATGATGTTAATATGCTGTGAGCCGAGGAATCGCTTTAAATTCCTTGAGGTAAGAAAGAAGAGGGTACTCCTGGCGGCAGGCAGGGAGGTAAGACAGCTAGTCAGTGCAGTTGGAAGCTGCCTTCTGCCTTTTATCCTCCCTCAGCCAACCTACACTCCAATAATCTTCCTTTCCCTCTCAGTATTGACTATGAATGATGTGGAAATTATAGAAATTATGAAATGCTTCTTTTAAAAAGTAGGTCTGCAACAGAAACATAGATTCAGAAAAGAGGAAACTAGGTCACCGCCCCTTATTCTGGTCAGGGCTTTGAACTGGTTAGTGGACCTCCGGCTGCGAATTTCCATTGCTGTCGCAGCTATACTGAATCAGAATCTACAGTTTAACAAGATCCCCAGGTGATTCTTAGAGCTCTTATAGATCACATGAGGATCTTAAAAATGTAGATTCTGATTCAGTATATATGGGGTGGACATGCAAATTCTCAGAAGGTTGGCATAGAACAAATTGGTTCGAAACCCTGATTCTGTTTGCTAGTGATTATTTCTCTTTTAAATTGTCTAGGGTCTTAATATATCAAATGGTATGTACTGGCTTTAAAGCTATTATGTACTTTCAAAAAAGCCTAGCCAGCATCTAGGAAGCTAACCTTTCTCTTGAGAGAGCCTGACATATCAAGTGGCTATTATTCCATAAACTAACTTTAATATTTGTAGTAATATATTGTTGAAGTTCATTTTACTGTACTGAAAACAATTTCTTCAAGACCTGGCATAAAATAAAACAAATAAATTAAAAGTTAAAACCAGAAAATTACATAAAAGCCATTATCTTGCATTGATAAAATCGAAGAATGATGAAAATACTAAATATTACACATATCCTCCCCTCAAACATTTCTAGATCTGTCATTCAGGAAGATTTATTGGACACCTATTAAAATCAGGACTCTGTGCTACAGGTAGGAAAAAGGAGAGCCAAAAATGAAATAGAAACAATAGTTCCCACATGGAACAATGCTTTTCAGAAGCAGTGTATCAAAAGAAAAAAAAGAGGTAGGATCAATTATTGAAGGGAATGAAAGACTCAGAATAGCAGAGAAGCAAAGAAAAACCAGGAGAAAAGAAGAGTATGTGCAACCGAAAGAGATGGGAACAAAGAAACTATAAAATGAGGCTAACCACCAAATTAGTTTGGCTCAACTTAGGAAAGTAACAAGACATAAGGAGGGTGAAATGGGGGTGGAGAAATCTACATGTTAACTGGTGGTATAAGA